ATTTAATTTTACACGTTATTGGTATTTTAAAAAAAATTATTTTGTAACAAAATAATAAATTATATGACATTTTAATTAACAAAAAGACTATTTTATTATTTAATTTTACACGTTATTGGTATTTTAAAAAAAATTTATTTTGTAACAAAATAATAAATTATATGACATTTTAATTAACAAAAAGACTATTTTAATATTAAAATTTAAAATTTAAAAATAATTTCAATATTTTTTAAAATTCAAAGACGATTTTAAAACAAGTCTAAAATTTAAGGGACCAAATTAATATCTTAACCTTCACTTTGCCTCAAATCTTTCCTGGCCCACAAGCTCTAGCATTTTTTTTTGTCCTTTTCCTTTCCTCTTCGGCATGTCCTACTGTCCCTTTATCCTCTCCCAAATTAGCTGGTGCAAACCCAACAACTGTTGATTAAAGTATTCACGCGTCTACTCTCTGGCATTACCCTTTCCCAGCAGTTGCCAGCACTCCCCGCCCCCCTCTGCCCACTTTTCCTCCCTTAAATGGCTTCCTCCATTCCTCCTCCCCTCAAACCCAAACCAACTCCTCTGCTCTCTCAGCTTCTTTCTCTTGTTGCCTTACTCAATTGACCTCTTTTTTCTTCTTCCATGGCTTCCTCAGTTCTATTTTTCTTTCTTTTAGTTTCTTTGCTTTCCAATTCAGAAGCAAGGAGACTCGTTGAGTCTGACCAATCCCAGCCATTAGCTTTTCAGTATCACAATGGTCCTCTCCTAAATGGGAAAATATCTGTTAACTTGATATGGTATGGCAAGTTTAAGGCTTCCCAACGTGCAATTGTTTCCGATTTCATCTCCTCCCTCGCCTCATCCTCCAAGCCCGCCGTTGCTCAACCTTCGGTGGCCACGTGGTGGAAGGGCATAGAGAAATACTACCACTTGGGGAAGAAGCCTTCTTCTCTTTCTCTTTCACTGGGGGAACAGATTCTTGATGAGAACTATTCCTTGGGGAAATCTTTCACCAGCAAGCAAATTGTGCAATTGGCAACAAAGGGTGCACAGAAATATGCTGTTAACGTTGTGTTGACGGCGGCGGATGTGTCCGTCGAAGGGTTCTGCTCCAGCAGGTGTGGGATTCATGGGTCCGCAATGGGCTCAACCAAGCGATCCAAGTTTGCTTACATCTGGGTCGGTAACTCCGAGACCCAGTGCCCAGGTCAATGCGCCTGGCCATTCCACCAGCCCATATATGGACCTCAGAACCCACCTTTGGTTGCACCCAACAACGACGTAGGTCTTGATGGAATGGTTACCAATTTGGCTAGTTTCTTAGCCGGAACCGCCACGAATCCGTTTGGAAATGGGTACTACCAAGGACCCAAGGAAGCGCCACTGGAAGCTGCAACGGCGTGCCCGGGCATCTACGGCAAAGGGGCCTATCCGGGTTATACTGGAAATCTCTTGGTGGACACCACAACCGGCGCTAGCTACAATGCCAATGGTGTCAGCGGAAGGAAGTATCTGCTTCCTTCTCTGTTCGACCCTGCAACCTCATCTTGTTCCACTTTGGTTTAAAACAAGACCAAAACCATATAGAGCACATATTGTATAGAGTAGTGCCCTAGAACCCAATATGGTTACGTATGAAATTCTTTGATTTTTTATTATTCTTCTTGTACCACGATTGAATAATGAAAAGAAAAAAAAAATTCGTTTAATGTTTATAATTTGTTGATTAATTGCATTTTCTTTGTGTAATTGTAGAAATTTAGAAGTTTTCTTGGTATGTTTGTGGTTTGGAATTGGGATTCAAATTCAAGTTCTCACACGGTTCAGTGAAACAAATGGAGCAGTCCATGCTATGTTGAAGCATGCTGCAACAATGTTTAGTTATTCTGTTTTCCTTAATGATATGTCAGAATCGACACAAATCCACATTGAAAGTAAAGAGATTTTGATATATGATTTATATGGAGGAAAATTTTGGAACCTACACAACAATTTTTTTTATGTCATAGTTACATTGTTTCGTTTCTTGATGAAATACTCCTATATTTACGCTAGTAACATGTTATGTTTTTCATTTGATAATTGAAAGGGAAGGGCATGAACATGGGAGACAAATTCTAGAAGTCTTGAATTTAAAATCTACGAGATGCAGCGTTGTTAGTCAACCTTATTTTTTTTAATGGTTGAGCTGTCTCTCACCCTAGCAGGATGATATTAAGGGATGCCAGATGGGTTTGTCGGATTTAAAGACATCAATTTTTTTTAAATATTGATTCTTGAAATTTTAATATTAAACTTAATTTATGAAACAATATTGTTATTTACTATTTTACATCTTTCATAATGTATACTAATTATACCAAACAAAACTTTGGACCTTGATTTTAACTTGAATTTTCTTATCCAAAAATAATTACACTTAGTTGAATCTGACTATTTAGACTTTTATGCCTTAGTTAGTAATGTTTAATTCTTGAAATTATAATATAAGTGTATTATTTTACAATTTAAATTATAAATTAAAAATTATTTAATGAAAGAAATTCTCAACATTAATGATTCTTTCTATAAAAAAATTTTATAATTTAAAACAATTGAAAAAGTAAAAACACCTTTTTATTATATTATTAAAAAAAGAAGAAAAAGAAAAATGTACAATCTCTATCCAGCAAGCAGCTAGGAAGCAACCCTTTTTTTATTTATTTATTTATTTTGAAAATAGGTAATAAGCTAGGAAGCAACTTGTACATAATGATATGGAAATCCAAATACAAATCCAAAACCTCCATTTCCATAAAATTCTATCTCCTCAAACGCGGTTTTGCCTTCCCAAAGTCTCCCCTGCCCCATCTCACCGCCCCTTCTAGCTCCCAACTGTCCTCCTAAAGGCCAAATACTGTTTAATTACTACTAAATTGCCCACGCATTTGATACACTTTCCAAGCAGTTTCCAACACTCTTCTACCGCACCTATAAATACCATTCTCTGCTTTCCCCTCCTACCATCCAACTCACCTGCTCTTCCCTTCTCTCTAGTTACCTCACTTTCCATGGCCTCCTTTGTTCTTTTTTTCGTTCTTCTAGTCTCTTTGCTCTCCAATTCAGAAGCAAGAAGACTCACCGAATCAGATCAGACCCAGCAATTAGCCTTCCAATACCATAATGGCCCTCTTCTCACCGGTTCACTCGCTGTTAACTTGATTTGGTACGGCGACTTCAAGCCTTCCCAACGAGCAATCGTCTCCGATTTCATTTCCTCCATTGCTTCATCGTCCAACCCCGCCGTGGCTCAGCCTTCTGTGGCTACATGGTGGAAAGGCGTAGGGAAATATTACCAGCTCGGAAAGAAGTCTTCTTCCCTTTCTATGTCTTTGGGTACGCAGATCATTGATGAGAGTTACTCTCTGGGTAAATCTCTCACGAACCAGCAGATCGTGCAATTGGCGTCAAAGGGTTCAGATAAAAACGCAATTAATGTAGTATTGACTGCGGCGGATGTGGCCGTGGAAGGGTTCTGCTCCAGCAGGTGTGGGACTCATGGGTCTGCATCCAAGTTTGCTTACATCTGGGTGGGTAACTCGGAGACTCAGTGCCCAGGTCAATGCGCCTGGCCATTCCATCAGCCCATCTACGGACCACAGAACCCTCCTTTGGTTGCACCGAATAACGATGTTGGTCTTGACGGTGTCGTGATAAATTTGGCGGGTCTCTTGGCCGGAACCGCAACCAACCCCTTCGGCAATGGGTTCTATCAAGGACCAAAGGAGGCGCCACTGGAGGCTGCATCCGCTTGTCCTGGTATCTACGGGAAAGGGGCCTACCCGGGTTACGCCGGAGATCTATTGGTGGACGGTACAAGCGGTGCCAGTTACAATGCCAATGGTGTGAATGGGAGGAAGTACTTGCTCCCTGCTTTGTTCGATCCTACCAC